ATAAAATAATTAACTCCGCAAAAGTTCAATAATATTTGTAGATGCTAATTTTTGAAATTTATTGAATTATTTTATTCAATAAATTTGCACGTCATTTGATTATATTATTACCATGTCGTAGACTGGTGGACAAGGAGTGTTATCCTTGGACCGGTAGGAATGATCAATGCAGACTACGTAAGAAGAGTAATCTAAAGACCGCTGGTTGCCGAAACCCGCCAAACCCGCTGAGAACAGAGCTGTACAAGGTCGGGCCAGCCTATCGTCTAGGCAATGAGACTGATATTATGCAGGAAATCCTGACCTCTGGACCAGTGCAAGGTAGCTGCTACAAGATCGTTAATCGAGATTTTAAAATATATATTAGCAACATGTAAAATATTTTTTAACGTATAATATTATATATAAATTAAAAATGGTATTAAAAAAAAGTAATGTCCGTTCTTTCAGCTACCATGAGAGTCTATCAGGACTTTTTCATTTACCAGAGCGGAATATATAGGCACTCTCGAAGCGCAGAACTACACGATTCCGGTTATCATTCAGTGAGAATAATCGGTTGGGGTGAGGAGCCATCTTATCGCGGTCCACCGCTCAAATATTGGGTAAGCCTATACGATATATCACAGTTATACGACGATAACACATTCATGCTCTATTAAAAAAAAAAATCCGAAAAGAGAGATTACGATGACACAAATTACAATTTTTTTATATGTAATTTGTTGGACGATATCGCTTATAATATTTTCTAGACAAAACAAATTTTTTAAATGTCTTAATTTTGAGATATTTTTTAAACTCGCAAGTTGTTTTGTTTTATAATTGTAAATAATTTAAATATCTAATCTTTTTTACTTCAGTTGGTCGCGAATTCGTGGGGACACAACTGGGGAGAGAACGGACTTTTCAGGATCCAAAGGGGAACGAACGAGTGTGAGATCGAGTTGTACGTGCTGGCAGTGTGGGCCAAGACAATATAAAAAAGAAAGAAAATACCAAAGTACTAGAATATCCGATTATCATAACAATTGGTGCATTTATTGAATCTCTGTCATTGGCCCGTCGTTGTGAGCAATGACGCGATTATCTCGAAAACGAGAAACGATACGATACATCGATTTTTGAAAGTATGTGAATCAGTGCCTCCATATACATCTTATTATATGTAAGATTGAAGGGAAGGGAGGGCGGGTGAGATAAAACGGGGGTAGAATTGTTTATAAATATTTAATGTAAGTACAAACATATAGTCAAAAAAAGTATCGTCCTTAATTTCTCATTATTTGTAGACAACATAATAATTACATATAGAAACACCCGCTTCGTATAATGAATTCAGAGTCGATATTGCGAAAATTAGGGCTCATGTAATATCCATGTGTCAATGAATTCGAATTCGTGTAAGAAGTACTAAGTGCCATGCGCTTGAAATAAATTTTGTAAGTACATTTCTTTACTTCCTTAAACGATCAATATTTCTTTATACATGAAATATTCCTCTATACATGAAATTGAACATCACACAAAAGCTTTACACACACATATATA